TTTGGGATGCATTCTCACTTTGGAAAACAAATAACTCCCTCTGTTCGCCTAGCCTGAATATCGACATTTAGGGAAGAGAAATCGTATATTCAAATGCCTTCGACTGTAATTAAGCTCGTGGTCGCCCACTTCTCGTCTTCATAAAGCTTTATATTCACACCTATATCACAGGCACCCGGCGAGAAACCTCCCGGGCCGAGGCGACATTCGGACAACAATGCGTCTAGAAGAGTTAGCTTTCCTCATGCACGCCGCCGTGGAGACAGCCGCGGGGGTCTCATTCATTGCTCACCCCGAGGGACAACTTCCCGGCTGTACGCCCGCTGCTAAACTCATTCTAAGGCAGTATGGAGGGCTCTTGTTAGCCTCAAGCATGGTCTGCTTAATTATCATCGCCAGCCCGGGTTGCAGTGCTACTACGACGCGGCTGGTGGCTGCTGCGCTGGGGTCATATCATGCGTGGCCTTGCTATCGAGCATTTACTCGCATTCGAAGCGAAACACGGCATAGACTCAGGGAAAAGTCGGTGCTTGGCGGTCCGCTCGTACACCTGCTGGTCCATTTGGTCTGCTTGGGCCTATTTTTGTGCGCTGCGATTGCGGATGCATGACCGGCTCAAGAGGCTGTGCTTGAGTCTCCCCACCTTTCAATACCTGAAGGGTAAAAAAGCACTGGAAACCTAGCAACCAAAAGGAGAAGGAAAAACCACATAGTTCGTCACAACTCATTTCTGAGCATTTGAAAATGCCTTTAACTGCATCTATTCTGGGATGCGTCCTGGGACAAGGAAGCGGCGCAAAAATTGAACGAGCTTGGGGTGTCCTACCCCGTAGACTTGATAAAAAGCTGCGACAAAAAGAGAGGGCGAAGTTACTTCCTTTGCGCGGCTAGTAGTCCCTCGCACTAAACGAAAAGAAGCGAAACGCGGACAAGCGTCATCTAAAAACTATTAGGATTCTTCAGAAGAGACTGGTACAACACTGGCTCTCTCTGCACTGTCCCTTAGTCATGGTGAGAGGCACACACGCGAAGGCAATCATATCGGTTGTCATATGCTTAGTCTAAGCAACGGGCGGGGTCAAATCCCGAGTTACGGCCCTCTCCCAAGTCAGACTCACTGATGCTCGCAACAAACTGATCAATCGATAACGACAAGTTTCTTGAGCAAGAGCGCTTCCTGTCGCCGGGTGCTGGAAATAGAACAACAGGTATTTCTTTTCCTGGCTTTTGCAACTACCAGACACGACAAGAGATTAGACGGTATGCCAATTTGGCTACAGAATGCTGCAAGCCTTAGGGGCTAATACATATTGTTGATTCCTCGTCGCTACTCGTAGCTTAGCTAGACAACTTCTTATACAGCACAAAACTTCGCACCTGCAAATCGAGCCCGGTTTATCATAACGATCAGTCTGAATTTGCATTGAATGGGAAATGTCTTGTAAAGTAATACACGAAGACAAATTCCTGATTGTAACTGTCCCAGAGTTCCTGCCCTTTCGACTCATCCGCTTACACTCGGTATTCAAGGTGCTTCCAGACGCGAGTAACGGTTACTGGGCCTGTTCTCTTTCCCAAATGCTTGAAGACATTTGAGCGCCGCACGAAAAAAGCCCAAAGCTTGTCGTCGAACAATAAGACCTGCCCAAAATCTTGGCTGGGTATTAGCACGTTAGCGATGCCAATATGTTGTCCCTCGCTCATTACCAGACTGCCAGAATCGATCATATCGAGTTGATCTGATCCGTTGAACCTTGTGAGCCAACCTTCGTGAAGATTGTAGTGTTCGAAGCTCGCCTGGTATTCATTTCCTGGTAGGTAGCTTAGGTCGATAAAGTACCCCGAAAGCAGCGCCTGCGCCTCGTTCGGTGGACCCTGGAGAGGCAAAAGTTTCACAGCTTCACCCGAGCGCGGCCCGGGCCTGCTCGCTAACCAGTTGTTATTGAGAGGTATCGAACACTCTGAGCAATCTCGGTCTCGACAAGCTCGGAAGGTATCAGCTACCTCAATAACCAGAAAACTCGATTCTGCAGCTTGGTAAACCACCCGACCGAGTCGCACACATTCCGTAAGATTGTGCCCGGGCCGGCGCGACACCGTATCATCCCAGATCTCTCCATTCCTAGTCCCATCAACTGAGCTAGCTGCGAGTTCCGGGACCGAGGATATCACGTATAATTTTCCTCCTATGTCGAGAACGCAGCTTGCAGTACACAGTGGAGCGTTCGTAGTAGGGGTGATCGGTTTGCCTATGCTTGTACAAATTCGGCGAGGGAAACATACGCGTGGCTGTAAATGGACATTTTGCTCTGCTTCGGTGACAACAATCCAAGCCGATAGGACCGGAACATAATCTCTATCAACGTAGACATTAGGTTTTGATGGGTGCGGTGTGCAACTGCCCGACGCAATATTGGCTTTGGGCATAGTGGTTGCTCTTGGTGTGGCGTGGGTACAATTTATGGTGGTGTAGGGAGGTTAGAGTAAGCTGTGGAAACAACCGATGGGAGAATCGAAACATGCAGTGCCATTGATTTTATATTCCCGAGTTTCGCATGGCCGAGGACAGTTGGTTGTACACCTGGACTCACGACCTGGGCAGACGCGTGTATTTTCCCCTTGCTTCACACGTCCCAGGTTCCGAGCAAATGCGCCACCAAGTTTCGCGTGTTGTGATACCTTGAAAACATTCACACCAGCTTGTCACCTAACGCGGTATTAGCTAGAAGCCGGGACATTCAACCTGTGCCATAGGTATGTCTATCAATTCTCATTGGAGTGGCGTGCGTGGGATATGTTGAATATGGCTGAGGCTGGGAGGGTTATTGGTGCAGTCCTGTATAGCCACATATGGTCATGTTACAAGTCTAACAATAGGAATCAAGTCTGGGTAGGCGTCAGGGACAATGAAGCAGTTTGTACATAGTTTCGTGACAGTCAGCATGGAGGCTGTAACCGTTGCGCAACAGGATTCATACCCCGTTTGCCAAGGTTGACTGCTTCCTGATAGTAAGGACTCTCGCACTATCTTACGACCTTTTGTGCACTTATCCATGCACTCAATCAGCTACTTGTATCGAGGTGTATGATTAGCCCTATTTCTATGTGTATGAGCGAAGTTGAACCCCCTTACAGTTACGTGGAACACTTCGCCCACTTCAACACGTACATTTGCGGCATCTCTAACGTTATTAGGGCGACTAAACGAGACAAGAAACCGCCCAGCTGACGTGTTTTAGGATGCTTCGTGTAACAGTAAACGTCATTGATATGATTTGCCCAAGTAACCTGCGCCTAACATCATGTATATTAGACCCTTTCATTGATTGGATAAACATACGCACTGGAAGGGGCAGAATTCTGAAGAAAACACGTGTAACTTGACTAGATATCGGGCCGCAACCGTGCAGCTAGCGAGTGACATGATTTACAAATCCCTTCCGACAGAAATGTCTAGCAACTGTGTATGAAACGTTAGCCCTTAACTACCTACTCATTGGGTGAAAACACGCTGAGTTGAAGTAAGGTTTCTTGGCATTGAAATCATTGGGCTACAGATTTATTTGTCTCGAAGCAGGTAAGGGGGTGCACTGTTACTGTATTATCAAGTATATTACAATATTCGTCGAAGCGTAGCTTGCTGTCGCGTACGTACTATGATTACATACATCTTGACCACTGGACATAGCACAACATATTGAACAAACAAACCACTACCTGGAGTGTAAGCACAGGCTGGAAACGAATACCTCGCACAGGGGGAATAGCTGTACTATCACAAATAATCAAATATTCAGAAACATGGAAAAGGATAGGGGGCCACATCAAAGGCTGTACCGCTCCAAATAACATCCCCTATATAAGCATAACAACGACGACAACTATAAGAACTAATACAAAGTAGTATTCAAGAATAATCTAAGTTTAGTCGATTCTGTTGAAGCTTCACTGCCAATGCGGAGATCTAGTAGTTTCTTTCTTCGATTCCGATCAAGTTGCTGACATCCTTTCCCGCTCTTTTCGCAGCTCTAATCTGGAGTCAAAGCCTGCTTCAAAGCGGTGCTTAGGATATCCCATCCCATCCCTCGCAGATCAATGGAGCTTCAGCCGCCTAATCAAGTCTTCGTTAATATAGGGTGCTCTGTTATGTCCGTTCGAGGGTAGCTCATGCACGAAAAGACCCGGCATCCCCATACAGTATTCGCCTCCAACTGCTTGTCATCCCGATGGCGCCACCGGCTCGCATCCCAAAAGGTAGGCATCTATCCTAAATCCTTATTATACTCGTTTTGAACCAGGACCACGGTAAACAAATAATACGTCCCGGTTTATCCAAAAACAAAGCATCGCATGTTATAGAAGCAAGGGTGTCCGGTTTATTCCTTGCCAATCTAGAGCGTAACATTTTCGATAATGAGGACAACAACAGCCAGCAGTCTGAATATCAACTGGCCAGATGGTGGGAAACTGCATAGGTAAAAAGGTATTAGTTGGCTGCCTGCGGTCGGTTGCGGTATCTTAGAACTCAATTGCTGTCGCTAATCCTTACTTTAACCTCTTCTCTTTTCTCTGGGTTATGTTTAGTTGCGAGCTTCAGGGCTGGGTAGGCTTATTGCTGCTTTTGGCTGAAGAGAATTTCTGATTGGTGCAACCATCGCGTCTGTCTCGGCATATTTCCCCGGTTGCATTAACTACCTATGCTCCAAGACATGCTAACGATGATCATGCGCTCCGTCGATCAATCCAAGTCTCTGGAAGAACCTATTGTGAATCGATTTCGCAAGGGCTAATTACCATATATAGAATCTGCCGAACCCTCTCTATATGGAGGGACCGAGCTGGACGGCTTTAGTTATTTACAGGGCCTTAGACACGGCATATACTGCGCGGGATCTCCAGGCTTGAAGGACTGCTGTTCTACATATTTTCTTCACACTCTGTTCAACTCCGGTGATCAGGCGCTTCAATGCCTTGGATGAACAAATTCTAAGGAGGAAAAAGCCCTCTTGGCTAAGTGGTATAGCGTGTCACAGTATTCTGAGGCAATTCCTCGTGCTAATGCCATGACAAGATCAGGGATATCGATTCCGCTAGTGGGCAGGTTTGCATTACCATCCGAATTGGTGTAGTGGCTAACATTTGACGCTCTCATGAAGTGCCGTCAAGCCCGGGGTTCGATTCCCCGATTCGGAGATTCGTGCAACTTCTTTTTACTATTTGTTTCTCTTTTCTTTTCTTTTTCCCCTCCCCTTCTGCCCCTGAGATATCCCTGGCGGTTGGCGCATCTTAGACTAGTCGAGCCCTAGTTCTAAAACTGGACGGAACACTGGCCAACCAACCAACGCTGTACTTACCTGCCTATTTTAAGGAATAACTATACATTTTCCTATCTTGCCTCCCTTTACAGAGGATAGATAGTATACTCCTCCCCATAACTCGATAATAGGATATCATTTTCTGAGAGCCTATAAGGTCTATTTATGCTACTAGTATTCTGTTCAAAGGCCTGATGTTTATGAGCGCTGCTCCAACATCCTTGTATTGATACTACTCCCATCAACGGCTCATAAACGGTATTTAGCTCAGGATACCGAAGCTGCGTCGCGATTAAGGGTTGCACAAAACTAACAAGGTGGATATCACTAGAGTTCAGAGTAAACCAGAGAGCGAAGAGGTGCAAAGATTGACAAGATGTATAGGCTACCTCTCCTAATTTTATGTAGAAATCACTTCCGCTGTTATCTCCTCACCTCCGAGCGAGATCCCCACAACAAATGCCCCCAACAAATTGCCCAAGAACGTGCCGTTGACGCTATTTTCGTACCAAGCTATGACACCGTTGTTCAGCATTGCTAGCAGCATATTCTCAAATCCTCCCCCCTATTTTGCTTCTCTGAGCCATTCTAGAATTCCTCCACCACAATTCCCAGCTCCTTTAGCGAAAGAAAAGAGAACTATCTTCGCACCGCCACGCCACGTCATTAGATGACACACACTCTCTCCCTTAGCGGCACTGTCCTTCAGTGTTCTCAAAGCTCGCAAAAGACTGCTTCGAGACGAATTTGTGCCAGACAGGAGCGCTTCGTGAGCATGTGCAAGGCGTCGCTCACAACACAGTGGTCAATTGCCTGCTTGTTTCCGGTAATGTTGGTGTTATCTCCGTAACTCAGCAGCTGGTCCAGCTTCATTGTTTTAAGCATTTTGGCCAGCATGCGCCAGTAGAAAATCTCAGGACGGGGTTGGCCATATATCGAATGTCCGGGGATGACTGTATCGTCCATGTGTACTCCCTGCGGCGAGTCTGGTTCGGCAGCCTCGAACATGATGGACCAAGTCGCGTTTTCTCCCGTGCAGACCTCGGCACACAGGCTCTTGATCATCGGGATGAACTCCGATGCGATCTCACATCGAGCAAAGAACGCATCGTGAAAGTCGTCTTTGGTGATCGGGAGCTGAATCCAGAATTCGTTCTTCGCGTAATATTCGGGGATGATCTCTCGACGCAGCAGCCTGTTGACGCGAGCCAGGGGTGGAGGGACCAGGCTGCAAGTAAAGCCGTGGAGAGGACTGGCACGTAGCCCTGTGACGCGTTTGATCACCGCGAACCCGTATACCATGAGGCGAAGCTCGGGTGGTAGGTCGAGAAAGTTCTGCTCCCTTCATTAGCATGCACACTGGGATGATAAGTTCTAATGAATGCTTACTCTAGGCATATTGGTAGCTGCTAGAATGAGGTGTGTGATCTTGGGGTTTGCCTCGAGGCTTGATTCTGTGCGACTATTGAAGATTGCTTGGTCTGAGGATAAGGTTAGCTAACCTCGATGCGCACATATGGAGGAGCAATGGTTGAGATCATCCTCTGATGATATCTAACGGGTCTTGGGGGAATCTCGCTTACCGCTGGAGAGTGGATGTGTAAGATGTATCAACGATGCAGTGTGAGAAGGGCTGGTCTACCGTTTTCTGGGGAAAGCAGAAGTATGAGGCAGATGAGGTGAGGAAGAGAAGATGAGGAAAAGAGAATTGGGTCCCTCAGACTCTAGAATATATACAGTTGGTATGTGATGTTGGTTTCCAATTTCCTAGGTGACATGGTCATTGGGATAAATGGCCATTTGTGCCAGACTTGGTGGAGGAGGCCATCAGAACCATTGTACAAAAGTCAGTTGCCTGGGTTGCCTGTATGCGGCTTCATATGTTTGAGTGAGTCATATCTCCATTGTGTACAGCGTTGTTCATACCTAATATACATTGTGTCGCTCATGTGACAGTTGAAAGTTGACCGTGGTCGTCAATGGGCACATAGAGGACAACAGTCTTGATAAGCTACAGTGATATAATGAAGCATTGCGAGTGGGACATAGGAGTTCAAGTAGTTCTGCAAAGCCACTTGTGACTATACTGATCGACTCTTAGCCATGGAGTCTTCAGATATAACCTTTAGCGGAGGGCTAGTCAGTCATTCAGTTAGTCAACAGGGCAAGGAGTCAATCAGTCAGTCATCGATAGTTTCTGCGCAGAATTTTATTGGGTTTTCTTTGCCAGCAGTAGAGCTTTCTCGCTACATTCGGCAATATGTATGGAAGTTGGATATGGTTAAACCTATCTCTATATATGTACAGGCCAGATTATTGATACGATGTCGTTGTGCTGGCCACCCTGCCCACTTTAGTACCAACTCGATACTGCAACGAGGACGTGTGGTAAAGTGGGCAATGCGAATAGGAGTCAAGTTCGCCCTTGCGCATAGAGATAATGCTATCAATGAAGATGTAGTCTGTATATAGTTTGAGGATAGTCACTGAGGGAGTCAAGAACCGTTGGGCAACAACAAGATTCATAACTCCAACATTTTTCAGGAAAAGGTGTCTTTGAATAGGGAGACTCATCTGTAGTAAGGGGGTTAGCTTTTAGGGTTCAATAGAGTGGCCAATTTGTCCCCGAACCCTCCATGTATCCAAGAGGTGCCTGTTGCTTATATATATATACACACAGAACCCTATCCCCTCCGGCCATAACTCACGTATTCCGCTCAATCTACTTCAAGATACTTATATAGGGCTAAATGGCCTTATCGTCTCTTATCATTTTACGAGTAAAGTGGCAAGGTATATGATACAAGACAACGCTACAAGAAATGACAAAGGGGAAAACAATTGACCTGTAGCATGACATGAAATGAGCTGTTTGTGTACCTGCCAGTGTATCCCTTTAATTAATTATTCGTCTAGATACGTAAGGGAGAGTTTCGGGACCGCATCTATCCTAATAACATCTCAATGTGAATGTGATGGAACTACTTCAGACTCAATTGGGCTTAAAGCAGTGATAAACTTCATATATACAGATATATTTGCCCCGACATCTTATCTGAATGTTTGATCCTGGGATTATTGGGTATAATGGGTGTGCTGCGGGTATATGTCGGTGCGCGAAGAGCCTAGAGCTTCACATTGATGACGTCCACAATACACGAAACACTCCCTTTGTTCTGCTAGCCACATGGCAAATTAGTATGCGTAGGTCTTCCAGCGAAAGTTTATGAGCTAGAAAGCTTTGGCAATTACCTCGGTGTAGAAACCTTTATTGCAATAGCTAAATCTTATACCACGAGACTTTTAGACGCGGTTCTATTATGATTCCAGGAAATTCAGTCTTAACAATGCGTTATGACTAACGACGTTAAGTGTATCATCGAAAATAGTAGAGAATCAATATGTTGCTTTGGATAGCTAACTAATCCGGCTCCACGAGAAAAGCGTTGCCTGAACTGTTGGGACGTAAAAATTGGAGGCTATCCGTATTAAACACTGGACGGAGACAAGTTCACATACAATCTACTTACTTCGAGGAAAGCTTTACGACTCGCTTTATTATCTTTTCTGGAGTCGAGCAGCGAGTTGATTAAAACGAAGCTCTAGGTCGAAGTACTGATCGCTACGTGAATCAAAGTCTCCCAAATTTGAACTGTTAACGGAGCTAGCGGAACCTGTCGATAGGGCGCGCAACTTTCTGAGGACTTCTGTACCCTGGTTTACCTTCTTGAGTATCGCTTGGGTTCTGAAGACGGATTGCTCTTCTGTGTCGATAGCGAATTCCCCAAGCCTAATGCCAAAGTGACTACCTGCCAAAGCGCGGTCTCGCTGTCGGCTTATCTCATCCACTACGAGCGAAGGGAAAGCCTCTAACAGCTCTAGTATTTGGTAAATAAGTGTAGTAAATAGTAGGATGCACCGAGTATTCCTGGAAGCCCGCTGTGAAGTGATAAGCTCTGATAATCTCCTTAGCGCTGTCCTGAGAATTCCTAAAAGAATCTTAAAGAGGTTCAGCTCAGCCTCGATATAATTTTCTAGATCGCTGATCATCTGACAGCACTCCAAGCAGCATCGACTGTCACTCGCCTTTCGGGGACGTGACGACAGTGATACTGGCACTTTTGAGACAGGTGGTACGTCGGGGAGAGTGTGAGTCGAGAGGAGAGTAGGGATTTAAACAATAAACCATCCAAGTTGGCGTCAGAAGGTAATGTATGTGACCCATTGTTTGAGACTGTCGGTACAGAATCAGGAGAGCTGGCGGCGCCCTCCACGGTTTCACCACAAGTGTCTAGATCGTCTCTAAGATCGAATGCTGCAGTGCCGCAAGGCTTAAGCTGCTAATCTGTAGACTAAAATATGGCCTTATCCGGATCATTTTCACCGTGTCCAGGCCCCGTTGCGACAGAAATCGAATTGATCGTTTGGGGGGTGGACAATCCGAGGTGTTCGCCTGTTTGGGTCTGTTTTTGCTCCTGCTTCTGAGTACGATCTTCTCTCCTTCTAGCCCCAATACCAGGAACCTTGCCTACTCTCGACTCTTGATAGATACAGGCTGTCACAGTGTTTCGGCACCGCAAGCATCCGTTTTTTTCGCCAGAGCATTTGACCTGCTTTTTTTCTTTAGGGGGGGTGGACTTTCCAACTTTGGATCAGAAGTATAGGTAATTAATCTGACCTTAGAGGCACAACACTGGTTACATGCACTGCGCAATTTCGTAGGCCGTGAGCGGCCATCGCACAGACTATGGATGTGGTATTAGCTTGAGATTTCCTACCAATATG